TAGGAGGTTAAGTACAAACGTGTACCTTTTGAAAAGTACCACCCCAGTGACAGCTCGCGTACCTTTATTCCTGAGTGTGTGTGCACCCTGAATGTCAGGGAATTTTATAGTTAAATATCAGGAACATTTTTCTTTGTTATTTTAACGTGTATTTTTGATTGTTTTTACATGCTTTGCCTGTTGTTGTGGTGGTTCAAAAATCAAATGCCGTCACCAGTCTGTCCCTGTTAAAATACTATCTTTTTGTTTGCTCGGTGATCAACCTCTCCTAGATTTTGCTAAAAAAAATTAAAAAGTAATTAAATAAAAACCAATAAATGAATAAAATCATGATTTTTTTTCTCAGCCTAATATGAGTGATTTTGTGGTGACTTTTCTCAATTTGTGGCAATATTTACTGGATTTCTTATGTTGATTTGCTGTGAAAATATTAACAAAAAATACACTGTAGTGTTTTTGACCTTAAGATTTGCTCAACACAACATCTGCCTGCTTTCTATTCATTATAGCTCATGAAAATTCAACTTTTTTTATAATAATAATAATAATAATAATAAGAAGAAGAAGAAGAAGAAGAAGAAGAAGAAGAAGAAGAAGAAACCCCTACTCTTTTTCGAAGGACATCCTGGGATTTTTAACGACCACAGAGAGTCAGGACCTCGGTTTAACGTCTCATCCGAAAGATGGCGCTCACTGAGCAGTATAGAGTCCCCTTCACTATACTGGGGCGTTAGGACCCACACAGACCACAGGTTGAGCGCCATGAGCCCTAATATTTAAAGGAGATCTATTATGCAACAGCCCCGAGTAAGAAGCAGTTGTCGGCTTTTAAGAGTTTGAATCTGCCACTATGCTAACACACAGGCATCTATAGCTCCGCCTTCTTTTGAAAAAGAGCACAATCTCATTTAAATTTAAAGCGACAGTCACCAAAATGCCACAATTAGGATCAAAGCCTAAAAGGGTCAGCTTCAGAGTTATTAAGCAAATATTTGTGTGCTATCTTGAGGTGAAACTTCACTTCACACTCTATAGGGACAGAGACTTGTATTACATCTTTTAAAAAGGGGCATTATTGGTTCTCTTTGATATTAAGTATACCTAATAATAGGTTTGATGCTGTTAGTCTCGTTTTTGAATCTGCCACTATGCTGACACACAGGCATTTGTAGCTCCGCCTTCTTTTTAAAAGAGTACAAACTCATTTGAATTTAAAGTGACAGTCACCATTATTCCACAATTAGGATCAAAAGGGTCAGTTTCAGAGTTATTAAGCATTATTTGTGTGTTATTTTGAGCTGAAACTTTACTACACACTCTATAGCACAGGTGTCAAACTCAGTTCCAAAAGGGCCGCAGCTCTGCACAGTTTAGTTCCAACCCTAATTAAACACACCTGATCAAACTAATTGAGTCCTTCAGGCTTGTTTGAAACCTACAGGTAAGTGTGTTGGAGCAGGGTTGGAACTAAACTGTGCAGAGCTGTGGCCCTCCAGGAATTGAGTTTGACACCCCTGCTCTATAGGGACAGAGACTTGTATTACATCTTGTAAAAAGGGGCATTATTGGTTCTCTTTGATATTAAATAGTAGGTTTGATGCTGTTAGTCTCGTTTTTGAATCTGCCACTATGCTGACACACGGGCATTTGTAGCTCCGCCTTCTTTTTAAAAGAGTAAAAACTCATTTGAATTTAAAGTGACAGTCACCATTATGCCACAATTAGGATCAAAGCCTATAAATGGGTCAGTTTCAGAGAGTTATTAAACATTATCTGTGTGGTATTTTGAGCTGAAACTTCACTACACACACTCTAGAGACATCAGAGACGTATTTTACAGCTTGTAAAAGGGGCCTTATAGGTCACCTTTAATAGTAAGTATAACTAGTAAGAAGTTTGATGCTTTAATTTGACATAAACACAGCTCAATACTGTGCATGGTTGCCATCTCAGTGGCACATGTTGAGTTTATCTCCAAGCAAAATGTCAGGAGCGGCCCAGCCCCAGAGCGAGTGTGTGACAGCGAAACACACACACATACACACACACACAGAGAGAATTAAGCTTCATGCGACTGCAGTGTCAGCACTACAGCCTTTGTGTGAAACAATGGTGAAGCTTGTTTTGCTTTACGGGGGTCATGTGACGAAGGCTCGCTCAGGGGGCTGCGGCATCCAGACATTTGTTTGTCACAGCAGAGACTCACAACACTGCAAACACATGCATGCATATCACTCACTCACACACGCACCCACTCGCATACGCACACACTGAGGAATCCTCCACACACACACACAGACACTGAATAAATGACACACTGATGGGCTGCTGTAGATTGTGGAGTCGCCTTTGGGGTCTGTTGTTCTTTGTATATGCTATTGTTCAAAAGTGTATTGAAAGAAAAAGGTATTATACATTATTATTATTATTATTATTATTATTATTATTATTATTAGGGAATTAAATGTTGTTGTTTTTTCCTGAGCAGCAAATCAGAATATAAATTTTTGAAGGATCATGTTATATAATTGCTCACAGGTTAAAAGAATATATATATATATATATATATATATATATATATATATATATATATATATATATATATATATATATATACATACATATTTATATATATATATATATACATACATATTTATATATATATATATATATATATATACACATACATATTTATATATATACATACATATTTATATATTTATATATATATATATATATATATATATATATATATATATATATATATATATATATATATATATATATATATATATATTTGAATAAAAAAAATGGGTAACACTTTATTTTGATGATCCATTTGAGTATTAGTAGACTGTCTGTTTAATATCTGCTGTTACTGCTGCTAAAGAGACATTTTACTGACTTTAAGACACTTTGCAAGTACATGTCAACTTAAACTAACCCCAATTTAACAGTCTACTATTAATCTAATGAGAATTAGTTGGCATGTAGATGCAATGTAACGTAAATTCAACAAGCAGACCACCAAAATAAAGTGACCAAGAAATATTCCATATATAAAAAAAATTAATATTTTTTAAAAACGTGTCAGCAATATGCCTTAATATGCCTCCTTTATAGACCAGCACACCGAGGAGTCCCCAAAGTGATGCAAAAGTGATGGATTTGCTATTTAAACAACGTTGCGCAAAACATGAAAATTAGGGTTGCGCTGGTCTAAAAATAGCAATAAATTGCACCAAACACCTCCTGCGCATTATTGCACCAATCAACTCAACTCAACTCATCAAATCAACTTTGAATGTTTGGCAATATGTATATCATGCCAATCAAATGAGAGACAGAAAACTAGTCGACATATTACAAATCTGAATGTACATACTGCACATTATTTTATTCTCAATTTTATTATTATTTTTTTTCTTTAATCTGCCTCTATAAGTTGTAGTACAGTATGTTTATGGTTATGGCTTGGTAAAATTTGGGCTATATTTAAATTTACACTTAATGGCCACTTTATTAGGTACACCTGTCCAACTGCTTGTTAACACAAATTTCTAATCAGCCAATTACATGGAAGCAACTCAATGCATTTAGGCATGTAGACATGGTCAAGACAATCTGCTGCAGTTCAAACTGAGCATCAGAATGGAGAAGAAAGGGGATTTAACTGAACGTGGCATGGTTGTTGGTGAAAGAAGGGCTGGTCTGAGCATTTTAGAAACTGCTGATCTACTGGGATTTTCACGCACCATCTCTAGGGTTTACAGAGAATGCTCCGACAAAGAGGAAATATCCAGTGAGCGGCAGTTCTGTGGGCGCAAATGCCTTGTTGATGAATTTGGCAATAACAACATGAAAGCATGGACCAATCCTCAAGTATGAGGGAGATTTTTTTGGCACACTTTGGGCTCATTAGTACCAATTGAGCATTGTGTCAATGCCACGACCTACCTGAGTATTGCTGCTGACCATGTCCATCCCTTTATGAACACACTGTGTCTCCGTCTTCTGATGGCTTCTTCTAGCAGGATAACACACCATGTCATAAAGCTCAATCATCTCACACTGGTTTCTTAAACATGATAATGAGTTCACTGTACTTAAATGGCCTCAACAGTCACCAGATCTCAATCCAATAGAGCACCATTGGGATGTGGTGGAACGGGAGATTGGCATCATGGATGTGCAGCCGAAAAAATCTGCAGCAACTGTGTGATGCTATCATGTCAATATGGAGCAAAATCTCTGAGGAATATTTCCAGTAGCTTGTTGAATCTCTGCCACGAAGGATTAAAGCAGTTCTGAAGACAAAAAAGGAGTCCAACCTGGTACTAGTAAGGTGAGGTGTACCTAATAAAGTGGCCGGTAAGAGTACACTACAATATACACTTGAATTGCAGAAAGAGAGAGAGAGAGAGAGAGGGGTAAACACAATGGAGATGGAGGAGAATGGTAAAGTGTGTGTGTGTGTGTGTGTGTGTGTGTGTGTGTGTGTGTGTGTGTGTGTGTGTGTGTGTGTGTGTGAGAGAGAGTGTGACAATACTCCCAATCAGTGAGCAAAATAAAACCGAAGCGTGCAAGTTTGTAGTCGGGTTTGCGTGAAGAGGGATCAACAACGGCACACAAAAAAAAAAAAAAACAACACTCACTCCAACAACAAGACACCAGAAAACACAACAAAAAGTGAGAAAATAAATCCAAACACAAGCTCCAGCAAAACAAACGTGAAGAAAACAAAACAAAAACACTCCGCTCCGTGGGCAAAGTCATCACTGCTCAACAACACGGAAAAATCAGCACCCCCAAAAAAAAAACAAATCAATAAACACAAACCAGCCTTTTTTTCCATTAAATCAAAACAAAAAGCACACAGTTAAGCTATCAATTCAACACCACTTCATAACGGTAAAAAAAGGCACACACAGCTCTAGGCACTATTAAAAGTGAAAGTCCAAACCAAACCGAAACCAACATACATGCATATCTGTAATCACCATTTTTCGAGCTCGTTTGTGTGTGTTTGAGTCTACAGGTACTGTAGCTAAAGCTCGCACAGCTATTCCTCAAACCACCAGTTATCTTAACCCGAATCGAGCCTGTCGGACCAGAGAAACAGACAACATTGAGTCAGGCTAAAGTGTCCAGTGGAGGAGATCTTCTTACTCACACATTGAAACACACACGCACAAACATACACACATACAGTTAAGGGTAGGCCTGTCACAATAATCAATATATCGACTTGTAGATGACTTCAATCATTTTGCCCATTGCAATCAATATACATTTACAAAGCCATTTACGTTCAACCTTATCGGTGTCAAAGTTCAATAGGGGTACTGATCATTTAAAAACATCCTATTCCTGCTAACATTTAAGTGCGTTCTTAAACAGCGCTGATTGGCTATTGTGTTCATCAGGGCTCAACATAAATGACTGTGATTGGCCGTGAAGGTCATCAGTTCACCAAACTCACCACTGTTTACTGAGTGTAACCACAGACACAGGGACACAATAGCGTTTAAAGCCGTGAAGATCAGCGAATCACTTGTATGTCAGCGTTTAGACAAACCAGCTGATCTTCGTGGCTTTAAAACGCTCCAGCATCCCTGTATTTGTTTTTACACTTGGTAAACAGCGGTGAGTTTGGTGCACTGATGACCTTCACAGCCAATCACAGTCAATTCCGTTGAGCACCAGAACACAATGGCCAATCAGCGCGTTTAAGAATGTGCTCAAATGTTCACGGGAAATGAATGCAGTATCGATTTGTGTTGAATTCCAGTATTGTGACAACACTATAGGACATTAAATAGTATATAAAATATGACATTTCACGTAATAACATCAAATTACATAATCTAAATGACCTTAAGTATGATAAGTAGGCTGTTTTAAAGTGGTTGTGGCTATTTGCATTATTATGCTGCTATGATCTCAAAACGAAAATAATAATTGCTTATCGATAGGACTGCACAATATATCGTTTCAGCATTGACATAATTAATATTGATAGGGGTCTGTTCTTCGTACCTCGCTTAAATGATATAAGATGATTCGGCAGATCCTGGATCTGTTATCGGGCTAATTTTGTTCTTCAAACGAGTTCGCGGATCAGATTAGAATGTCTGGATGAACTGATCTGAGATCGCTGTGTGTGTTGTGAAGGACAGATCTGTCGATTCCCGAAATCATGATCAGCAATGCAGCGATTGGCTGACGGCACAGCAGCGTAATGACATCATCTGATTAATATTCAATTATCCATGCGAGCTAAATTACATCAAATTAGCAGTAACGGTTTGTTAATTATTATACGCGATAACTTTACACATTTGTTGTGAGCTGCAAGCTTTAAACTTTTATGCGTCAAAAGAGTATTCATCATGTATTTCAATGCATATCAGTGTATTTAGTTCTACATTTAGAGAAGATTTTCTTTATTATAGTAGCCTACAGGCATACTCAAGTTTTTTTTTTTTTTAAATCATTATTCAAGTTTTATTTTTTCGGCGTAAGGAATAACTGTATAAATTAATTTTGCATTAAAAAAGCATTTTGACCGGCATATTAGTGATCAAAACACGTGTTTGACTGCATAAATTTTTTCCTTTTTTTTTAATAAAAAGGCGAATATTGTGCATGTACGCGCTTGCATCTAGAAAGTTCATATCAATAAATTTTCTCTTTGAGATAGCAGGTGGCAGTCTTTTACTTTTTATTTCGGAGTGCAGAGATATATATATATACACACTATTTTCCAAGAGTATAACTACTACTGTAAGAAAATATCAGCATTCAATACATACTTTCAGTATTATCTTTGCTTGTACTGACCTGAGCTAATCCTGTTTATATGAAATGAACCTGCTCCTACGCAGGTTTGAGCTAGCAGAACTTTTGCTATGACAACAGGTCTCAGATGAGTTTTGAAGAACGAAACGATCCTGAATCGTGTCAAATCGTCAATAACCAAATCCAGCTAACTGAGTAATCCACGTACGAAGAACGGACCCCTGAAACCACAGGTCGAAACACAGGAGATTTGTTTGGAGTCGCTGCAGAATTAAACCATAAAAGAGTTAAAATTTGTGATCTGCTTGTGTTTTAAGAAAGTTTAAAGCATTTTAATAGCGCATAAAGAAGTTTGATAAAGATTAATTTTTTTTATTTTTATTAATTTTATGATGACGATTATGCAGCGTTATTTTACATTTGAT